TTGCAGTCAACAGCCTTTTATTTGAAGGAGAGGGTTGCAGGACATTCAGCTCGCCAAGAGACCAAACACCGTGTGAAATATTTCTCCTGTTATCAGGCCGTCTTCCAATTTTTAAAAAAATCGGTGCTTAGATTCCGACACCCCAAATCTGTGCAAAAATAAATGAACTCAAGTCGCTACGCAGTTTTCTCTACAGCTGCAGAAGGAAGTAAATATGTTTGTATTTTAAGCATCATTTTTACAGAATAGATGGGGGGGGGGAGGAACCATGCTGTTCTAACATTGGTCAGGAAGTTAAAAACCAAGCAAAATAATTTGTGAAAAGATATTTAAAGGGGGGGGGCTCCTCTTCGCCACACGTTGCCAATCTCCCATTGTCATCTGTATTTTGTATGTCGTATTTTTTTTTTCTGTAAAAGAGTATAGTGGGCAAGACAATTGTAGATCTTTTTTGCTCCTTAACCTGGCAGCCTGGCCTAGAGCTGTGTGTTTTTTTTGGGAAAATAACAATCACAAGCTCATATTGTGTGTGAATGCTGTACTAAGTGCTTTGCCCATTTTCCTCTCCTGTAGCATGTTGTCCATTCTCTTTAAGGTACATAACATGGACCATTGATTTTGAAATGTGCGTGCCTGCCAATTTCTGTCAAAAACAATTTATCTGAAAGAAGCCTCAGAAGTGTGTGTTTCGGGGTGTGTTCTGGGGGTGAAGCATCAGTGAAATTTTGGAGAAATCTACACTCGTGCAATAGCACTTCTGAAACCATGAACTGTGAGCTGCTCTTAAATTTTTTTTGGACTTTTCTAGATTTGCAGAGCAAGAAATGGTCATTTCAGTGCCTTTCAAAATGAAGCATTTAAATAATGATAATAAAAAAATCAATGCCACAGGGTTAATTTAAACATTTCCGTTACACCCAGCGTGAAAAGGTACTAAGTCTGCAAAGATCAAGCTGGAAGCCACAGCAAAACCTCAAAGGCTTTTGCAGATACGCTGAGAGAAGAAAACCAGCTTGCAAACACTGACTTCCCAAAAACAAAATATATTTTCTCACATTCTCCCACTTTGCATTATTTTGTGTTCCCCCCCCCCCAAAAAAGCTGACTGCTGTTAATATCTCACCTCACGTCCAGTTCTTCCAACCCAAGTGCCAGTGTGGATGGGAACCCCCCCCCCCATCTCTTGGCTTTACAAATAGATAGGTTTAAAAATTAGCATACAATCTTATTGGAGTCCGTGTGTTTTTTCTGGCTTCTGACATGCTCCCAGGGAAATAATAAGAGGGGCTGTACAAGGGGAACAAGCGTCCTTCATGGGAAGCCTCAGCTGGAAAGCACTCGTCTGAGGACAGGGGTTGCGAGGCGGCTTTGCCTTTCCTGTGGGGTCTCAACCCGAATCCCTGGTGAAAAGCCGGATATCTTGCGGGTTCCAATAAAGGGCCACCGCGGAGTTGTAGACCAGAGACCAAACGTAGGGGATGAAAAACTCTTCGGGCTGCTCCTCCTCCACGTATTTGAACTTCAGCTCTGGGAATTTCTGCAAGGGAGAAAGAAGAGCGTCAAGAAGGCAGGGCAAGCAGAAGCAACGGGTGGAAACTCGTCAAGGAGAGAAGCAACCTGGAACTAAGGAGAAACTTCCTGAAAGTGAGGACAATTAACCAGTGGAACCACCGGCCTCCAGAAGTTGTGAACGTTCCAACACTGGAAGTTTTTAAGAAGAGACTGGACAGCCCTTTGTCTGAAATGGTGTAGGGTTTCCTGCCTGAGCAGGGGGTTGGACTAGATGACCTCCAAGATCCCTTCCATCATCAACAACATCATCATGATCATGATCATCATCATTATTACAAGGGAAAGGAGTGGAGGCGCCCAAGGGCTTCTTCTTCTTCCAGGAAGCCACATTTGGGGACAGGAACACAAGCCTGCATGGACTCCCCTTTGAGGACGCAAGTCACACAACGCACAGGATCACAACTGGGAGGGGCTCGGAGGTCTTCAGGACCAACCCCCTGCTTAGACAGACAGTTCTCGACTTACAAAAGCTTGTTTAGTGACTGTTTGAAGTTACGATGGCAGTGAAAAAATGTGACTCCTCACCCCGTATTCACACTTACGACCGTTTCGGCATTCCCCCCCCCCAGGGTCATGTGATCAAAATTCGGAGGCTTGGCAACTGGTTCATATATATGACAGTTGCAGCGTCCTGGGGTCACGTGAGATCCCTTTTAGCGACCTTCTCACGGGCAAAGTCAACGGGGAAGCCTGAGTCACTTAAAAATTGTGTTGCTAACTTGCCAACTGCAGTGGTTCACGTCACAATGGAGGCAAGGAAGGTCGTGAAGTAGGGCAAAACTCACTTAACGACTGTCTCGCTTAGCCACAGAAATTTTGGGCTCAACTGTAGTCATAAGATGAGAACTACCTGTATCACCCTGGTCAAATAGCTGAGGGAAGAAGGGACTGACGGACTGCTGTGTAACAGATTTGTGCCAAGCACCCGCACAGGATTTGTGTCTGGGGCGGAAGGCGGCACTCAAGGACCCTTTTGCCCTCCTACCATGTTTCCCCGAAAGTAAGGCCTACACCAGGGGTCTTCCAACTTGGCCCTTTGAGGACTTGTGGACTTCAACTCCCAGAAGTCCTCAGTCAGTCATTTTGATGAAACTGCGGACTTGGATCCAGACCAGGGGTCTTCCAACTTGGCCCTTTGAGGACTTGTGGACTTCAACTCCCAGAATTCCTCAGTCAGTCATTTTGATGAAACTGCGGACTTGGATCCAGACCAGGGGTCTTCCAACTTGGCCCTTTGAGGACTTGTGGACTTCAACTCCCAGAATTCCTCAGCCAGGCACGCGTGCCTGGCTGAGGAATTCTGGGAGTTGAAGTCCACAAGTCCTCAAAGGGCCAAGTTGGAAGACCCCTGCCCTAGACCGTTTCAGACAAATGGCTGTCCAGTCTCTTCTTAAAAACTCCCAGTGTTGGAGCATTCACAGCTTCTGGTGGCAGGTCGTTCCACTGGTCAGTTGTTCTAATTTGTCTGAATTTTGATCCGGTGACCGTGGGAAGGCTCCAACAGTCTCAAGTGTGAAAGACGGTCATCAATCACTTTTTTCAGCACCATTGTGACCTTGAACAGCCATTAAACAAGTGGTCGTAAATTGAGGACTACCTGTACAAGATTCACGCTCATCATTAGGAGATTTTCTTGCAGAGAAAAACTGGCACAAGCAGCTGTCTTTTTATGAAAACAAAGAAAGAATCCATGTGGCCTGTTCTTTCTGAACTGAAACTCTTCTGCGGAGCCGTTGTGGGGTGTGTGTGTGAGTCACAAGGACTTTGGGTCCAGCCAAAGTAGGCCAGTCTCAAGTCCCAGACTTTTGTGATGTTATTACTTCTTTAATCAACCGCAGAGATTCCCCCCACTGTCTCAGATGTCTGAGCTGGTGGTTGGGACCAGAGCGGGGAGCCAGACGAGTGCAAAGTTTACCAGACTCTCTGAGATGTCGAGATTGTGATCGGATGCACAACCACGGGGAGTTCTAGCAAAGAGACGCAACCAAGAGACAGACATTTTTTTCCTGCTTTAGTGCACTTTAAAAAAAAAAAAAGTATGAAAACAAGAAGATAAAATCTCAAAATTAGCAAAAAACGAAAAAAAACCCCATACATGGCTTTGCTTACAAAGGTTTAATCCAGATGCCGGTAATCTGACACTTTCCAAACAGGTTGGAAATAATTTCAGCCAGGTTTTGCATCTGGGGTACTGGGTTGGGGAAGGCTGATGTGGTGAGGCTTAGAGCAGGGGTCCCCAACCCATGGGCTGTGGATCTGCACCGGGCCGTGGCATGCCAGCAACCGGTCCGCACAAACAAGAAGAACCCCATCCGTGGGATGCAGACAGCACACAAAACCACACAATCTCTGGTCCGTGCAAAAACCTCTCCCAAGGAACCGGTGGTCCCTGGTGCCCCAAAGGTTGGGGGCCTCTGAGTTAAAATGACCCTGGGATATGTTAAAGCAGGGGTCCTCAAACTTGGCCCTTTGATGACTGGTGGACTTCAACTCCCAGAATTCCTCAGCCAGGCATGTGTGCCTGGCTGAGGAATTCTGGGAGTTGAAGTCCACCAGTCATCAAAGGGCCAAGTTTGAAGACCCATGGTCTGGATCCAAGCCTGCAGTTTCATCAAAATGGCCGACTGAGGAATTCTGGGAGTTGAAGTCCACCTGTCATCAAAGGGCCAAGTTGGAAGATCCCTGGTCTGGATCCAAGCCTGCAGTTTCATCAAAATGGCCGACTGAGGAATTCTGGGAGTTGAAGTCCACCAGTCATCAAAGGGCCAAGTTGGAAGACCCCTGGTCTGGATCCAAGCCCGCAGTTTCATCAAAATGGCCGACTGAGGAATTCTGGGAGTTGAAATCCATAACTCATATGAGGGCCAAGTCTGAAGACCCCTGTGTTAAAAGTTAGATTATAGCCCCCACGAAAGACCACTTTCATTGGGACAGTGCCGTTTTATCTTTCTACAAAGGAGCCTCGCGGGCACTAAAGTCACATTCCAAAAATGTGAAATTGAGGCCTCCTATGAAGAGAAAATCAAAACTAATATTAAACCGAACGAGCAGGACGAAGTGCTGCGACAGTTAGTCCTCGATTTACAACAGATCATTTAGTGGCGGTTCAACGTTACAAGGGCACTGAAAAAAGCGACTTATGCAAGGTTTTCACCCTTAGGGCCCTTGCAGCACCCCCCCCCCCAGGGCTACGTGATCAAAATTCAGACAAGTGACTCGTATTTATGACGGGTTCAGGGGATCCCCTTTGGTGCCCTTCTGACAAGCGAAGTCGATGGGGGAAGCCAGTCTCACTCAACGACCGTGCTACTAACTTAAAAACTGCAGCGATTCATTTAATAGCGGTGGCAAGAAAATCGTAAAACGGGACGAAACTCACTTCACAAATGTCTCACTTAGTAACAGAAATTTGCTCAGTCGTGGTCGTACGTTGAGGACTACCTGTATTCATTGCCACACTCTTCCCCTTTCCTTCCAGCTTTCCTTGCATTAGAGCCTTTTCCAGAGAATGGAATAGGAGCTGGAAGGAACCCTGGAGGTCTTCTAGTCCAGCCCCTTGCTCAAGCAGGAGAACCTGTATTCCAGTATTCCAGTATCTCAGGGGCTGCCCCAAAGAAGAGGGAGTCAAGCTATTCTCCAAAGCGCCTGAAGGCAGGACAAGAAGCAACAGATGGAAACTCATCAAGGAGAGAAGCAACCAGGAACTAAGGAGAAATTTCCTATTGGTGAGAACAATCTACCAGTGGAACAACTTGCCACCAGAAATCGTGGGTGCTCCATCACTGGAGGTTTTTAAGGAGAGACTGGACAGTCACTTAACGAAGAGAAGGACAAGGGGGGACATAATAGCAGTATTCCAATATCTCAGGGGCTGCCCCAAAGAAGAGAAGTCAAGCTATTCTCCAAAGCGCCTGAAGGCAGGACAAGAAGCAACGGGTGGAAACTCATCAAGGAGAAGCAACCTGGAACTAAGGAGAAACTTCCTGACAGTGAGAACAATTAACTAGTGGAACTCCTTGCCTCCAGAAGCGGTGAATGCTCCAACACTGGAGGTTTTTAAGGAGAGACAGGACAGCCATTTGTCTGAAATGGTGTGGGGTTTCCTGTCTGAGCAGAGGGTTGGACTAGATGACCCCAAGATCCCTCCCAACCATGTAATTCTATGCATTATTAAATTACCTGGGTGTCCCTTGAACTTTTAAGTGCTGTCCTCTCCCACTACAGTATCCTCAAGCAGCCTTTTGCGTACCTTTCCTCCCCCCCCCATGGTCTTCGACAGAGAGTCGCCTCCACAAACCCAGGGAGATGTTTCGGTTGAAGTGTCTGCCTGGTATGCAGCCCTGCCTGCCTGATAATATCTTTATGCCTTTTTTTGGACTTAAAAGACGAGACAGCAGCCATGGAAAAACTCACAGCGAAGAGAAACGAATTAGAGCAAGTGGAAATTTACAAGGCGAAGTAGGAGCGTTCATCTGCAGACAGGCTAGGCCAGGGGTAGGCCGCCTTGGCTCTTTTATGACTTGTGGACTTCAACTCCCAGAATTCCTGAGCCAGCCCTTGTGGACTTCAACTCCCAGAATTCCTGAGCCAGCCCTCGTGGACTTCAGCTCCCAGAATTCCTGAGCCAGCCCTCGTGGACTTCAACTCCCAGAATTCCTGAGCCAGCCCTCGTGGACTTCAGCTCCCAGAATTCCTGAGCCAGCCCTCGTGGACTTCAACTCCCAGAATTCCTGAGCCAGCCCTCGTGGACTTCAACTCCCAGAATTCCTGAGCCAGCCATGCTGGCTCAGGAATTCTGGGAGTTGAAGTCCACGAGTCATAAAAGAGCCAAGGCGGCCTACCCCTGGGCTAGGCGGCTCATTATGATCCGAATGCTAAATGAATTTAAAGAACCAGGCGCGGGGTTAGTTGTCCCTCTCTCATACAGACATATTCAAACACACACACAAACACACACATACCCCG